TACATGCTCATAAGAGACTGTAAACTAATTTCTGGTACCCCAAAATTATTACAATACCAACATCGAAGATCACTGATCACAGATCACCATAACAAACATAACAATAATGAAGGCCGGGAGCGGTGGCTCACGCCTATAATCCCAGCACTTTGGGAGGCCGAGGCGGGTGGATCACGAGGTCAACAGATCAAGGCCATCCTGGTCAACAAGGTGAAACCTCGTCTCTACTAAAAATACAAAAATTAGCTGGGCATGATGGTGCGTGCCTGCAGTCCCAGCTACTCGGGAGGCTGAGGCAGGAGAATTGCTTGAACCCAGGAGGCGGAGGTTGTGGTGAGCCGAGATCGTGCCATTGCACTCCAGCCTGGGCAACAACAGCGAAACTCCGTCTCAAAAAAAAAAAAAAAAAACAATAATGAAAAGCTTTGAAATGTTGTGAAATTACCAAGATGTGATCCACAGACACGAAGTGAGCACATGTTGTTGAAAAAAATGGCACCATGTGTTTACTCAATACAGGATTGTCACCAGCTTTCAAACTGTAGAAAATGCAGTAACTGACAACTATAATAAAACAAAGCACAATAAAATCAGATATGCCTGTATATCTTCAGCTTAGTTGATACTGCCAAATAGTCGATGAACATGGTTCTATCGATTTACAGTGCCACTGGACATGTGTAAGTTATTTTCAATTGTCCTGCATCTGTACTATACTTTTTGTTGCCTGTATTTCAAAGATAGCCATTGTAGTAAACATGTAGAGATTTCTTCTTGCAGTTTATATTTGCATTTCTCTGTTTTTCTGTGGGTACTTGGTTATCTTTTGTTTCATACCATTCAATTTTATCCATTTTCATGTTGGCTTACTTGCTTTTGATTGTCATTTCACAGCAGTACTTTATATTCTGGATAAAAATCCTTTGTCAGATGTATGTGGTGCAAATACTTTCTCCCACTCTGTGGGTTGCTTTTTCTTCTCCGATAACGGTATCTTTAGATGAACAGAAGTTTTTAATTTTAATGTAATCCAACTTACTCCTTTTTCTTTTATGACTGTTGTTTATGAAATCTTTGCCTATTCTAAGGTCATGACATATGCTCCTAAGTTTTCTCCTAAAAGCTTTATTTTTTTACCTTTCACATTTAGATCTACAATCCAACTAGAATTGAATTTTGTGGATCATGTGAGATAAAAAGTTCAACACTTATTTGTTTTCAAATGGATATCCAGTTGACCTAGCACCATTTACTGAAAAAAATAATTGTTATCCTTTCTCCAATGCATCTCAGTGTCAGCTTTGTCAAACATCAGGTGTCATGATGTGTTTGGTCTATTTCTGAATTCTAATTTTTTCTCCATTGGTTTATTGTCTATCCTTGCACTCATACTGATCTGTTAGTCATTACTATATATGGTAGTTCAGGTTCTAAAGTGATGTTCTTCTTCAAAATCTCATGGGCTATTCTTAACCCTTTACATGTTGCATACATTTTAGAATGAGCATTTTCAAATTACAAACACACACACATACACTGCTGGGATAGTGATTAGGACTATATTGAAACTATAGATCCATCAGTGGAGAACTGACATCTTCATACTATTCAGGCTTCCAATTCATCAACATGGCATATGCCTCCATTTATGTAGGTATTCTTTAATTTACCACAGTAATATTTTACAGTAGTTAGTGTGGAATATCCTTAGTATGTTTTGCTACCAAGTACTTGATATATTTTATATTTTATTATTTTGTAGATGGTATTTCTAGTATTTTATCTTTTATATATTTTGGTTGATTTATAGGAATACAATAGATTTTTGTATAATGCCCTTCTACCAGTGGCCTTGCCAAATTTCTTGTCAACCAATAGGTTGTATGTAGTTCCTTTGGACTTTATACAAATGATAATGTCAAATGAGTTAATAACAGATTTATTTCTTCCTTTTTGTGGACAGGACAACTAAAGATAACCACCAATTAAAAATTAAATATTGGCCAGGTGCAATGACTCACTCCTGTAATCCCAGCACTTTGTGAGGCCAAGGTGGGTGGATCACAAGGTTAGGAGTTCAAGACCAGCCTGGTCAAAATGTTGAAACCTGTCTCTACTACATATATGAAAAATTAGCCAGGGGTGGTGGCAGGTGCCTGTAATCCAAGCTACTGGGGAGGCTGAGGCAAAGAATTGCTCAAACCGGAGCAGCAGAGGTTGCAGTGAGCCAAATTGTACCACTGCATTTCAGCCTGGAAGACAGAGAGAGACTCTATCTCCAAAAAAAAAAAAAAAAAAAAAGGAATCTATTTACCTTCTTTCTGCCTTTCTTCCCTTGATCTTAGTGGCCTTTATCACTTGACTGGCCAATAAATCACAGCAAAGGAAAAGTCGGGTCAGTTTTGGGGATAGGTATTACTAGAACTGGCAGCTTTTACCTTGCCCTCTTGAGTCCCTGAACTATCACATAAAAAATAAAGTATTCATATCCTTTCTCTTACTAATTACACTTTTGTATGACTTGAACATAAAAAAATAAAAATAGAAAATGCAGACAAAACATTATGCACAAAATTGTTATCGACTGCGGTGCAAAATGATAGCAATTAATTGACTAATGATAAACGGTTACATAATTTAAAATAAAATAAAATGAAATGAAACTACTCTGAGACTTTCATCCTGTAAGGAATCCCAAACCATGGTGAAATCAGCTTAAGACATGCTGGTCAACAGGCCCAGCTGAGTCCAACATTTCAGCCACCCTTGCCAGGATACCAGGCATGTGAGTGGGGCCATCCTGGATCCTCCAAATCTGCCTGTCTTCTACCTGAATACTATTGAGTGGCTTTGGTTAATGCCATGTGGAATAGAATAATAACCCAGCCAAGGCCTGTCTAAATTTCTGACCCACGAAATTTGTGATGTATAATAAAAATGCTATTGTTTTAAGTCATTAGGTTAGGGCATAATTTTCTATAAAGCAATAGATTTCGTTTCATGAAATATTGACCAGAAGTGGTGACAGTAGCATGACTTATACTTTTCCTGAACACAGGAGGAAATACTTCAGTATTTTCTCATTAATTATGATGTTACTATTGGGTTTTCCTTCTTTTTCGTAGATAGCTATGAATTCCAGGTCAAGAGGTTTTCCTTATATTCTCAGATATTGCTTAGAGTTTTCATCATAAACAGGTTTTTAATTTTTTTCAATAAGAAACAAATGATTTTCTTCATTTATTATTTTAATATGATGAATTACATTGATCTTTGAATGTTATATCAACCTTGCATTCCTGAAATAAACACAATTTGTTGTTGTGTTTTTACTTTATTTTATTTTTTTGAGACAGAGTCTCACTCTGTCACCAGGCTGGAGTGCAGTGATACAATCTTGGCTCATTGCAACCTCTGCCTCCCAGGTTCAAGCGATTCTCCTGCCTCAGCCTCCTGAGAAGCTGGGACTATAGATGTGCACCACCAAGCCCAGCTAATTTTTTTGCATTTTTATTAGAGATCAGATTTGATCATGTTGGCGAGGATGGTCTTGATCTCTTGACCTTGTGATCTGCCTGCCTTGGCCTCCTGAAGTGCTGAAACTACGGGCGTGAGCCATGGTGCCTGGCCTTTTTATTCTTTTATAATATTGCAAGATTCCTTTTGATCATATTAGCTTAGAATTTTTGTATATATATTTATTAGTGAGGTTGGCCTTTAATTTTTATTTTCCAAAATGCCTTTATGGATTTGATATACAACTAATTTTAGCCTTATAGAATTCAGAAGTGTTATTATATTTTTAATATTTAGAAAAGTTTGTGTAATAATTTTTATTATTGAGTATTGCTTGTTTAAAAAATTTGCTGCAAAAACCACCTAGATCTCAGCTTACTTTTGTCTAGTATCTTTATATCTTTTTCTACCTTTTTACTTCCAATTTTTCTGTGTCCTTATGTTTAAACTGAGTCTTGTACAAAAATATAGTTAGATTTTTTTTTTAAATCCAGTCTCACAATTTTGACATATATATAATTTGGAATATAAATATGATATATATATTATTTGGAATTTTTGTGCATGTGTGCAAGTGTATGTGTGTGTAATAGAATTTTGAATCTTATTTATTTCTTCTTGACCAGCATTTTAGGATAGTACATATAAATATACATAATTCTTTGTTATGACTATAATTAAGTAGTGATGATAATAAAGCTCTATGGAGGTTTTATGAAAAATAAATTATTACTTAAGTTTTTAGACTTACAACAATACTTTGAAATATAGTTAATACCCAGTAAATTAGTAATTATTTTTGTTACTGAATTTTTTCCAAGCGTTTGCTGCTTCAAATAATCAGCCATGAATATCACTGTACTATAGTTTTATGTGTTCATGCTGCAGTTTCTGCAATATTCCACAGTTCTGTGGTTGAATGTGCATTTTATAATTTTTATAAATAATGACAAATTTACATTTTTCTCCTCTAAAACTCGTTTAAAACTGACCCCTTTCATGAGTCATTCATAGCAAACATTTATTTAACTCATTACAGTAACAACCTCACAAATTTATTGGGACTTATATGTAACTCTTTGATTAATTTATGTTTAATAAAACTGATTTGTCATTCTTATTAATAATAGCCATTATGGGTGACTTGTATATGCCAGGCATCAAAAAAAGGTTAAATCATTTTCCCAATATTATATAATACATAAATGTTGACCAAGAATCAAATGTGGTTTGATTTGAATCCAAAGCCTGTGCTCTTGACCATGATGCTATATAGCTCTTCTCAGAGCAAATCTGCCTTCTTGTTTAATTCTTGCAAGAAGCAAAAATTAAAAGTTACCTGATCTGCCCAAAGACATACAAAAGATGGCCACTTAATTTATAATCTAAAATTTAATTGTAAACTTCTTGTCAGACTTTCTTTCTACTTCCCAAGCCACAGACACGGGAAAAACTCAATTAATGCTGACTCCCTAACCACAGATTAATATATCTGACCACACTGGCTCTGCAAGGCTGTGGCTGAAGACGGCTTAAACGTTGTCCTTGAGTGAATATCTTAACATTTATTGTATCTTTTATTTTCTTAACAAAAATGAAGGAGTTTGTGAATGTGTGGGTAAGTTATATAGAGTGAAAATATACTATATAAGACTATAAATAAATCTGCTTATTAAATAGAAACATGTCACATAACGCCAATGATAGCTGCTGTTTCCTTGCATAATTGAGCGTATGCCTTCCCCTAATCATGACCAAGGTTTCCTTGATAGTCCTTCACATTCACCTTGGCTGATAGGTTGAAATAAAGCTGGGACCCTTGCATTGAGAATCTGATCACAAATTTGCTTTATGGGTTTCTTCATTTTACGTCCAGGTTATCATCTCCTGTTGGATGTACTGGTCTTCAATAACCTGCTTAGTCAGAAGTCTGAAGTAACTTAATTGATAACAACAACAAAAATCTTCCACTCTCTGTCTGACTCAATAGGGTTTTCCCGTTCTTAAGACATAAACCTACCTGCCCTCACCAAACGCTGTATAACATTTTGAGCTATAGCATTTGCCTCTAAATAGTCTTTTTTTAATCAGATCAAAAGGCATTATGCATCTCACATGGAGCTGAAAAATAACACTACCTGACTTTACATAGTGTTGGCTATGCATTATAAATTCTTACAATATAGGAGGACGGTGACAGAAATATCAAGTCCCACCCATTCTTTACTATCTAGAGAATACTTTATCTTTCTTGTTTATTTGTAATGGAATTTTTAATCATTGTATCACCCAAATGTGGCAAGTATTGATTTGGTAACTAAAATACTTCATTATTCTGGAATGCTTTTTCTGCTTCAAGAGAATCCACAAAGTTGCTACATTTTCTCTTACGAAAGAATGGAATAGAAATTTAATGGAAGTGTTGATTGACAGAGATGTGTTTCTTTTCCTTTATAGTTTTCCATCAAAAATTGGGAATCATGCCCTTTCATCCAACACAGTTTTGGTAAGCAGAAGTAAAAGTGTTTGCTCATCATTAAGAACAGATCCATAACTTTTTAAGAGAAAACGAGTGGTTACACTTACATTAAAGGGCCAAACTTTTTATTTTGGAATAATGACTCAATTCAAACTCCTTTGATTTGGGTACTGAAGACACAATTTGATGAAGTGAAAAAACATTGGAGCAGAAGCAAAAATTCCTAAGAAGGAGTCTCACCTCTTACCATCAACCTAGTGTTCACTTTTGGTAAACTATTTAATCTCTTCAGCATCTGCAACCTCACTTGTGAAATGAGAGGTTTAAATTACAGTTTCCTTCCGCTGTAAGAGTCCATATCAATATTTATTATACAGAAGTAATTTTCATTAAAAATCTTAGAATTTAGATTTTTATGTTTTAAACATTTTATTTTGTAACACCAGAAATTAACAAAATGTTATGCCTGATATCCCACTAGTAGTGTCCTTTGTGAGATTAGCAAGTACAACATGGTTATATGTTGTACTAAATATGCTATATGCTATTGCTATTGCTAAAACTATAGTAATTCTACTATGGTGCCTTTTAAAATTCTGCCTTAGACTAATACGTTACATTTTTCAATTAAACCTTAACAATGAGCATACAATCAAGAATCATTAATAAATTACTCAACAAATACAAGTTTAGCTGTTTATTAAATAAAGTATACCTGTGAAGTCAATTTGACCTAGATATTAGTGAAGTATGAATCTGCGTATCTATCATCTCTCTCTGTATCTATCATGTCTAGGTGCATATTTATTCAAGTTATTTTTAAATTTTATTTTTAATTATTATGGGTACATAACAGTTGTACATATTTATGGGGTATGTGTGATATTTTGATACTGCCATACAAAGTGTAATGATCAAATCAGGGTGATTGTGGTATTCATCTCAAACATCTATCATTTATTTGTGTTAGGAGCATTCCAATTCCACTATTTCATTTCTCTAAGATGTATGATAAATTATTGTTAGCTATAGTCACCCTATTGTGCTATCAAAGACTAGATTTTATTCATTCTATCTAACTGTATTTTTGTAGTCATTAACCATCTCCACCTTATGCCCCATATTTTTATATCCATTAACTGTTCAAGATTTGTTGTATGGTTTTTCAGTGAAAATTATAGAGGATATTGCCATTTGATTTACCTACATCCTGGGACAAAATTGACCCCACTGTTTTTTTCTTTCTAGGTCCATCTTTTCTCCTAGAATAGGAGAAAGATCAGGATCATCAGAGAACTTAGGGTGTAATATCACCTCTCCAGTACCAAACACAGTTCATTAACCTCTCAGAACCTCAGGTGTCTTGGGGCATAGTTCATGTCTCCTGGCCCATCTCACAGGATTATCAGGAGGATGAATCAGATAACTGAGTGCATTTTGTAAACTATGAAGTGCTAAATAAATGCAAGGTAATACAATACTAATCGTGAAGTCTTCACTCAAACTCTTAATTCATTAACATACACTCAGCAAATGGTTTGAGTAAGAGGTATGTGGCAGGCACTGTTCTAAGCATTGGGAATCAGCAGTCCAAAAGCCAGATAAGACTGTCTTGGGGCAGTGGGAAAAAGACATTAAAAAGGTAAATAAAAGATTTCAAATAATCATTAGTGTTACCGAAATTAAAATAAGATGCTTTGATAATTGAGGGACAACTATAAATGATCCTCTCTGTGAGGAGTGATTTTTAAGCTAAGACCGGATGAAGAGATGGTGTGAGTCAAATTACCCAGAAACGGGCATTCCCTTCGAAGGGAAAAATAAGTACAAGGACCCTAAGCCAGGAACGAATTTCATATTTGAAGAACACAAATAATCTGTGTGGCTGATGTATTGAGTGAGGGTAAAGGTAAAATGAAGTAAATTAAATGAAGTAGAATTTGCATTCCCCAGAAAACGACAGAATGTTCAAGAATTTTGGTGTAGTGTAGATGAAAGATGTTTTTCACATGAAATGGTGCAGCTGCTCTGTCTTAGAGATTCAGAGTAAATCCTGAGGGTCAATTGCTCTATACAGGTTAATAAAAACTTCATGACACCTACATGCTATTTCCCGAAGGCTTGTTTTGGGGAAGTTGGACTTCAAAGGAGAAATCATAACCAACATGTTTTCATCATTAAGTGAAAGTCAGTTTCCTTTGTGAAAGTACCATAGAAGAAGCTTCAAATTTTCTGCCCATCAGGTTTCTCAGACAGTATTTCTGTTCGGGAGGAGGTAAACTACCCAGTGTCTAAAGCTATTCCCGTTATGCCTACATGCCCATGGCAAAGTTTTTGTCTTCAGCAATAGGTGTCACAAAGGGGTAGTTGGGGAACACTAAGACCGACTTGCTTCAAAAGGATCTCAAATCATTCAGTCCATCAACCACAAGGGCACCCTACTCCCTCCTTCCCCACCTCCTGCCCAGCCCTGACTTCAGCCTGTTTTCAAGAAAGGCAATATAGCAGCAGCCGTTTCTATTTTCTTTTGTTTTGCTGTCTTTGCCTCAGACTCTCTGCCCTAGCCTAGGAGAAGCAGTATCCCAAACTCTGCCCTGGCCAACACGCAGGCGCTTTTCACTTAACTTTAAGTCAAATTCTTAATGATTCAGCGATGTGAAAACAGACATCAAAGGGAGAGGCAGTGTGGGAGAGTAGCAAAAGCACCGGATTCGGAGTCGAGGAGACAGAGTTCAGTTTTAGATGTGCCTACTTCTGGAACCCTCCCTGTGTGTATAATCAGGATGAAAATATTTCCCTGCTGTTCTGACAAGGTGGTAAAGGGAATTATCCGCAGAAAGCACTTTGTGAACACAGGCTGCTATATAAAAATGGAGGAGGGAGAAATGGAGTAGTTCTGAGTTGGTGAGTTTGCTTTCATTGACTATCAGGTATGAGAAGGGCACTGAAGAAGCCAGACAGGGGCTAAGAGCGTGAAAAATATACCCTTTGCCATGAAGACACTAGAATTTATGCTAGGGAGCAGAGATCATGTATTAAGGGACTACTGTGCAGCACAGCTCTAGGAGGCACCGTTTGCACTGTACTCTACGCATACATTTGAAAGGGTTAAATAAGAATGTAAGTCCACTCAATAAAGGATAGGCAGTAAGTGCTGTAGGAGCTCAGCGGCTGGAGACATTGAAGAAAGATGAAAAGAAGGGATGAGACTTCAGCTACTAGGTAGAAGAGGAAACCTTCTGACTGGAACAAGAATAGAGACAAAAGATCTCCAGTAAATTTAAGAACATGAGAATAATTGGGTGTCCTTTCAATAGGGATAAGAGAAAGTAGTGTGACTTTTTTGTTCTTTTCCAAAGTTTTTTTTTTTTTTTTTTTAATGGAAATAGCTTGGGGACTTTAAAAAATAATATTATGGCACCTGCCTATTCTTTCTCAATTCAAATGAAACTTAGCATCTGTTCTAAAAGCACTAGGAAAAGGCAAGAAGAGAATGAAGTGCCCGACAGCTAAAACCTTTGTGTTCTTATCGTTTGCAGTATAATTTTTATTGACCCACAATCTGTTAACTTCTTTTCCTCATTCACTATAAAAAGATGACATAAATGTCTTTTCAGAGCCTTTATATATGTTCAAATGCAGAAAAGGTCCTGTGGTTGCTGTCAAACTAAGGGATTCAATATCCCAGAGAACATCTATTCCAGTAACACTGGCCATTCGGAATGTGTTTGTGTCTGTCAACACATGTGCATGCATGTACATTCTGTGTCTAAAATACTACAGTCCATGAAAACTGTCTTACTCTTCAATAAAATTAAGACATTTAGGGCTTCTCGAGGTCTTGTATTTCTTAATATTATAAGACAGAAAAGTTGAATTAAAGAATTTAGTTCATGGTTTAATTAAATTTGTAATTTCAAATTTACATTTGCATCTGAATGTTAACTGTACTTGAGTAAATAAATGAGCAAAAAAGACAAGCATTTCTGTGAAACAAAACACATATTTACTGTGGTTAATTTTTGTTCCTCTTTTACTATATAGCCTTTGATTTTTAAAAAATGATCCCATGTTTTATTGTTGACATTTTATTTCAATATCTGATTTGAAAACAGCAGAGCCCCTGTGAATTTTAAAGAGATATCTGCTTTCTTTCATCACAGCTGTTCAGCCTTGGTGGATTGGCTGGGATTTCTTTTTGGATTATTATTGTATTACTTGTGAGAGGAGAAGGAGACAATGCGAACCAATATTCTGATGATAAAGATTTGGCAATCGAGTCATGTCATCACGCCTCCTTTCTCTTCCTCATTGGAGTTTTTTGCAAAAGCAGAAACAGTGACTTTTTTCAACACCTGCATCTTTAACAACCAGAGCAGTGTAATTACCTTTCTTGAATATTCTATAGCATTGTCAAACAGCAATTTTCTTTTACAAGGGTGGCTTTTAAATAATGTCGTTTACATACAGAGTTTAACACCTCTTAAAGTAAAAATCTAATTATAAGAAACTAAAATTTACTGCATGTTTATAATTTGATTCTTATAAAATTGCCAATCAGGGCACCTTTAACATATTTTATGAAGCAGAAAAGGTACATATAGTCAGCTTAAACTAAATATTTTGGAGTTTGTTGAATATATGTTAATTTCTATTACTATTACTATTATTAACACTAGTTGGTTTTTTATTGCATTGCTCTTGAATTCAACATGTTTCTGGAGAGAGCTGACTCACAATGACATGTCTTCTCAAGATCATCTTTTTTAATGAAAAGTATCAATATTTAAAAAGAACTGTCATTGTAGTTTATGTATAGATAGTAAATGGCATAGTCAAGCAAGCTGAGATAATTCTTCCAATGGACATATTAGATAATAATGCCACTACTAAATAATATTAGAATTTAGGTAAATGAACTGGCATTTCATAAAGTGGCTTATACCTGGATTGTATACACACTTATCATTTTTGGCATCTGATTTTATAATTTTTGAAGTGCAGATGGAATTGCCAACCACTGGAAGGAGTGATACTTAATATTTTACTACAAGGTGAATGCTGAAGTGAAAATTTTAACATATCCCTGCATTATTTCATTCTGGTACAAGCTCTAAATTAACATTATAAAATGTTATAAGCATACCTATAAACTATCGCTTACAAAAAAATTAAAGGGTATCTTTTATAATCTTCAAACTGTCACTCTGGCAGTTCCTCTGTTGCCCCACATTATTCTCAGAATGTCGACTGGGATACATTTTCCTTCTGTGACTTCGTTCAGGATTTCTGTTCTCTATGCCAATTTATATCCAAGGACTCTGTGACTCTTTTGCATCTTTTTCTAAGCATGTTCTCTATGGAAAAGATAACCAGCCTGAAGTCTAAGGTACAACCTTCTCAGGAGCTTCCTTAAAAGCATACTCTATCATTCTTTTAAAAAAATTACAAATTAGAAAAAGAAATTTAATGGAGTCTTACATGGTATGTCTTGAATTTCCATCAACTGTCTAGCTAACCAGTATTTGTTTAAATAGCTCCGTTCTATAGACATATAACTGTCATGTAAAAGAATTTCTAGACTGCTTATATCTTGGTCATATAATATGATTTTTGTGCCTGAAATCTTAAGTATGCCAGTAGGAAGAATCACAAAGTCTGAAATGCTAGAAATGTATTCTTTATGCTATGATAGTTTAAATCTTGACATTTCGTATTTAGAAAATAACATTTGAAAAAGAAGGTGATACTCAAAATACTTCATCTATTCTTGAATGATCTCAATAGCCATATATTATTATGTAAAACATGTAATAATCCTTATTTCCCTCCTGTATTTTTAGTCCCTCCATAAAATATATACATATGATGATGGTAGATGTGTATTATCTCGGTTGCATGTATTTTACATGCAAATACCAGAAAGCAAAAGAAAGTAGTATATTCATTCAACTTCTATGTGGACATAAATGTTACCAAAGTGAAAAGGCAATTCTCTCTCTCTCTCTCTCTCTCTAACTTTGCTTTCTCTAGCAAGTGCTTTAGATTTTATAGGGTTTCTCCCATACTATCTTAACTGGATTAAAGAATAAGAACAAGTTTTCTCCGTTACAAAATTCTCATTTAATCCTTATCCACACTTAATTTATCAAATTAAATCAGACAAGATTGATGCCAGGGCTTTTCAAGCTGGACATCATGTGTAAAATCGGCAGACAAGGGTTGTAAAGGGTGCCCACCGTGACTTGTCATAGCCTCTTGCCT